TACTTCTGCGCGCACAAGACTGGCTTTCTTAACCTGGCAATGGCCGTTTCCTGTGTTGCAAATAGACGCTGGTCCAGGGTAGCTCGATGGGACCTTATAAATAACACTGAAAGCTTTGCTGTGATCCACACGATGCCTCGAATCAACTATATGTGCGAGAATGGCATTGCTTATGCTCCTAGTTGCGTTTTTTTCCCAGCCAAACTTAGAGGTGACCCCGTGTTCTTCTGGATAGGGACCAATATAGCCTGTTCAACGTGAAGGGGTAGATGCACAGTGAGCTGGTCTGTGGCGGCAACATACCCTTACCTTCTCCTCGTAAAATAGGGTTACTAAGGAGTAGTATTCAAACCCTTGATGCTGGGAAGGTTCGCGGACAACTTGATAATGACGTCTCCCTAGGAGTTCACTCACAGCGTCCCCTTAAACGGGGATTTTGAGAACCAGAGTTTCCTTTTCGGCAGTCACTGTGGTGGGTTTTTTCCGGTCGCTCAGCAATATTCTTTACGATAAACCTGCAAGGATTTCCGTTTTCGAGAAGCAAGTCCTGGCTCTTCCTAAGTTCCTCGATGCTCTCTGCCGAACAAATTTTCCAGATCTTCACGCCAAACAACGGACTAGATTCAATGTTTGTTGGAGGGGCGTGGAAGTGCCGAAGTTTGTGTATTGTCCAGACGAGATTTTCTTCCGATGCGCACTCCTTCGGAGACTACCCTCAGGTCTCCTGTTTAGAAGGACATCTAGGAAAGGGAACGATTCAGCCGTTTCCATCTCCAGCGTGAACTTACTCGACGGATGCGGTTGATTTACAGCAATTAAGAGGGCAGTCACGTCAATTTCTGTGGCGGTAACTGCAAAAATGTCGTCAATGTAGCGACCGTAATATTTAAGTTTATTTATCTGATCGCTTAATTGAAATTTCTCCAACTTGCCCATAAAGACATTTGTCAACAGAGGTCCCAAAGACGAGCCCATATCAACGTCGTCTATTAGTCTATAGAATTGGCTGTCAAAAAGGAACTGCACATTTAATGTTCATCTTGGTAATAATTCTTTGAGTGTTCTTAGGAATTCCTATTTTCAGCTCATTGGTTGATAGGAATTCGTAGGTGCAATCAACTGTCTCGGTGACCGAGATGTTTGTAAAAGTGATGTGATGCCTAGCACTTCGAGAAAAAAGATGGGACTCACGGGAACGGGTTTATTTGGGTGCTGACATCTCGAAGAGCTTCGTCGGCTCCCCATTGTCAAAATGTAAAATGCACTTAAGCGACCAGGAACTGAAGTGGCATGTCGCGTTGGTCGGCCTCATGCTGATCGATTTTTCTTTCCCCTCGCTGACTCGGCCTCTCGGGGGATGGTTGGCGGGCGTTTGATCTGCGTGCTTTGTGAGTCACCGTATCGTCACGGGGAGGTGATTGAACCTCTGTCGGGTGGTCTCTCTGACGGTTCTTCCTCGCCGAATAAACTTGCAATCGGGCTGTCTCCGTATGGCCTTCCTAAGTCAAGTGTGGTTGTTTGGTCCTGAGCTCTATGGGGGTGATGACGTAGGAATTTGTAAGCTGCAGGAAGGTCCAGATGCCTGTTTATGGAGTTGGCTTCGAGGTACCACGCCAAGAATGTTAGCCGTTCTGCTTTTGTGCTGCCCCGGCCTTAGATGGTAGCTCCCTGGAGATCGGAAGCATGTCCGGCTTCTCTAACATGCGTTGCTAGTCGAGAATTTAAGTCTGCCCTTTGAGTCGCCAAATTTCGCTCTTGTAGGCGGGAGCCGACCAAGCTCTTCAAAACGTCAACACCCAAATAAACCCGTCCCGATGAGCCCCTCTTTGGTCAGATGTGGTTATGCAGCCTCACCTGAAGTAAACAAACCCCATCCGTCTGTACTAGGGCGCCGGTGGTAAGAGGGGTTTTTACAGGTTGGGCCGGGGAACGCACAGACGACGAGGTCAATTAGTTGCATGCAAAAGAAAGGCTATTGGGAATGCCCGGTCGTACTTTGAGTGGTTGAGAAATAGCTGCCCTAACCCCTACTCCCAACCCCAACCCCAACAGTATTGTGTCCATCAGGTGGCGCTACATAATCATATCTTACCTCCATCTTTTTCCTCAAATCACTAACCCGGATCTCTCAACTTTGACTGACTGCTCTTGTTTTAACTATCAGTGGCAGCGACAACTCCTCGGTGCAGAGCATAAAACTGATAACTCCTCAGCTGACTCAAAGCCGATAGCACCCGCATAAAAGCTTATCCGGACAACAGTTTTATCCAAACAGATTGCGCGCACACTGACCAAAAGACACGGCCGTGTACTGTCCATGTCTGTTTAATTTTCTGGTGAAACTGCAGTATGGAACAAATGAAACCGTGGAATGACCACTTCTGGCATATTTACTTTCATCGGCCCGCTATCCCCCCTCTATATGCCGGAAGATCCATAAGGTAAACCCCTCGAGCAGCTGATAATCCAGAATTTTAGTGAAACGCCCAATTACTTGAAGGGGAGACTGATTTTCTCTCGACTGCAGCTGAGGATATTAAAAATCACATGGGATGGGTTTCCCTCGGACCCCTTACGCTCAGCACTTGCCTTTTGACTGAGTGCGCTCAAGTTGTGTCCCTGAATGCCACGAAGACTACAAAGTAGACCGTGAGTTTCGGATGACGGTCTCTCACGTGGAGGGTAGCTGTGAAACTTTCAATTACTTGGGACTCCTGCTTACGAGGTTCTGGCTGAGCCTCTCTTCTGAGGTGAAAACTTCATATGTCCGGGTTTTTAGATGACGCCGCTGTCATCCTCTACTGATTCTGGTCGTTACCATGGTGACATATTGGACACCGGGCCCGTTCCACAGGCCACCCCACCAAGAGACGGTCGGGGGTTTCTGTCAGAGATTGTCTACCGCCTCATCAGCACGTCATCTCTAGCTTGTCAACGTATAACTGGGCGCTTCTTTGGTCGGTGCGGGTGGGGACCCAACTAGTGCGGATCGGAGTAAGGCGGATTGATAAGTTGGTTTCAGACGACTGACCTCGAGCGAGAATCACCTCCCGTCTGTCAGCATCTCCTACAATGCCATCTCCTTGGAGTCAGGTTGTGTACGATGCCCCAGCGAGGATTGTCTATTGTGGGTGCTGATAGGGGAGGTGTGAAGCGTCTCGTCTCCAACTCTGTCAAGACTGATGATGGACGTCGTTCCGAGCCATTTACGCTGGGGCTGTGACTGACCGATAGTCAGTATTGTGACGTCCGTCGTAGTTGTTCAATGTCCTGATGCGTCACATAATTTGCCCATCCTGTGAGTGGTCCTCGCTTAACTTAAGTCAATGGGGGGTAGCGCACATGATAGTTCGAACCTCGCAAGCTAAGGGCTCCGCCGGCGTACCCTGGAGAACTGGCCTATGATGGGGCGGACTTGCGAAGCATCTACCACACTCGCTCCTTTCTCACTCACCTTGCTACGAGGGTAAGACAACATCAAGGCGATCTAAGGTGGGCGCGGAAGCAGTGACTGAAAAAGCGTCTACGCGTGCTGCGCGCATGATTGTCCTATGGTGGGTTCAATCACGTAGACTTTATCGTGTAGAAATGCGCTGGTTTTCCGTGAGCGTCGGTCACCCCCCCCCCCGGTGTTCTCCTCACTCACTCTTTGCTTTACCATGCACCAGTCGACTGTCGGGCTCTGTGAACCAAGTGATGTGGGAAACATGCGAATACACGCCCATTTGTACAAGGACAGCCGTTTTTGCTTCGATTAATACAACGCACACACACACACCTCTTAGACACAAGACATCTGAACCTGCTCCCCCAATCCTACAAATGCAGCCGACAACGCAGCAGTATACTCTCTCCGGCGGGACCTAACACCGTCAGAAGACGCCCTGCTCTCGCTACTGAACATTGATACCTGCGACAGCAACTCAGGGTTTCGTACTGAATAAATCCCTCCATCTGATTTCTTCGTCCTATCCGGCTAATCATGACTTTTTGTGATGACTGTGATGGCTAAGAAACATCCACAAACCGGACCACTGTTAGCACTGAGAAGGCGGCTGATTTCTTAGCGTCAGGCGAGGGTAGAGTGAAGAGTGTCTAACCATCGAACGAATTAATCTAACCCTTGGCAGACATTTCTGTTAGCCCTCAATGCACCGGTTTTTGCTTCTCCGTTCTGCCAGTTATCAGCATACGATCCACAGTCTATTGACAACTAAATTGGGTCCTTCATTTTACCGTCGCCCTACCTCTCTTTGACTCAGCATAGCAAATCTGGGTCAGATGGGGTTATGTACATAGTCGCACCTGAGGTAAACAAACCCAGCCACCTGTAATGCGTGACCGGTGGTCATAGGGGTTTTTGCAGTTGGGGCCGGGGAACGCACAGACGAGGAAGTCAAGTAGTTGTATGCAAAGAAAAAATATTGGGAATGCACGGTTGTACTTTGAGTGATTGAGAAATAGTTGCCCCAACCATATGGCGCCGGGGGGGGGGGGGAGCGTGAGGACTATCGGGCGCCGAAGCTAATCGATAAGCAAGTGCAATTATGCACGGCCGTTTGCGCCGCCGACGCAGCCGACCCGGCAACCAATCAAATCACGAGCTCGCTGAAGACTCATTACCCCCCTCGAGTACGCTAGCCCCCGGCGAGCTCGCTTGCTATTAGGGATAACCCCTAGCCCCTAACCCTAGCCCTAACCCCTTAGTCCCAACTCCTATTTGACTCAGAATAGCAAGTGTGGAACCCTTGAAAATATAGACGAGACATAACCGTCAAAGCTCTTCGGACGCTTATTGAACCAGAAACGCCCGATCCTGCTGGATGAAGATCTAGTCGCCCATTTCCAGTGCGCTGGTCGCAAGAAACCACTGGTTTAGGGAAGATTTAACCGATATAAATAAAAATGAAGGACAAAATAAAGCTCGTTCAAAGAAAAGAAAGTGCAAAGAGTTTGGACAGAAAGTTGGAAGAAGTGGAAGTGCGTCAGAGACAGGTCCATCACGATGCTAATATCGCCTGCATATACTCCTCATCTAGCAGGGCTGCATTCCAGCCGTCGCGCTGGGAACTGTCTGGCACTCGGAGGTTCCGCAAAATCTTCAGCAAGGGGCGATATGTGTGGTTGGTGCAGTCGGGACTCCCCGGATCGGGGACTGGCACTTCAAAGTTGACCCCCATCAGCTCAGACCAGTGCAACGCCCAGTGCTTCACTCGGTCTACAAACACCTCCTCACAAAGGATACTCAAGTCCCCGACGAAATCGCAGAAAGTTACCATCTTCCCCAACCATCCACAAAAGGAGGGCTTTTCAACAAAGGCGCAACACCTAACACCGTTGAGAAGGTAGAGTTTCGACTTGGCAACCCTGTCCCAAAGAACTTCAGGTCCACTATGAATGGGCAAGTTCACAGCGTCTAGAAGGTCCTCCAGAGTTGTCATTCTTGAATCACAGGGAGCTCGCAGAAGGATAATTAGGTCTCCCACTGGTGGACTGTGAGTTCCCTTGTCGAGAGGATGGGGCAGTTTGAAGGAAAGGAGGTAACAGGGCCGGGAACACTCCTCATCATCCTGCAAGCGCAGTGGTAGGGCAAACTGCCAGGCCAGATTCCCTTCACCCAGGTCCGCCCCCTTTTCCAGTCTTGATTTCCTACAGACATTACTGACCACCTTCTTCATCTTGATGCGCAGACAGCGCTGTATCTCCTTGTGGCCGTAGATCTCGAAGTAGTGCATGTTTGGGGGCGATTTTGTGAGATTTCGGAAACCAAAGTGTTCGTAGAATTTGTCCAACCGCAGTCCATCCTTGAAGTAGAGCTTCAGATACTTAGCTTGCTGGAACTGGGCGGCTTCACAGACGGCCTTCAACAGACGCCTGCCCTGTCCCTTGCTGCGATAGGCCTCCTGGATGAAGAAATGGTCCAGCAGGAGACCGTGGCCACCAAAGAGCATGTCGAATTCCGGTATGAAGGAGGCGTAACCAACCAGCTTGGGAGAAGCCTCATGGGCAGGATCTATACATGTCAGCACCAGGATTTGCAGGAAGTCCTCCTTTTGAAGCTGCAAGAAGGCTGAACGGGACATCTGTGTTTGGTCGCCTGGAACTCCATGGTATTCTAGAAGTTCAAGCGTTCTTTGGTAGAGCTCGTCGCTATCGGACAGATCTCCGACACGTATAGAAAACATGATTTATCCGCGAAGTCGTGAGCCAAATGTGGTGGGGCAAGGAGCGACTGGTTTCTCCCATTTACATGTTTTTTTCAAAAATCAGATGGGGTATTTTGAGGGACACGCATTTAGCCATCATCTGAGGCAGCACTGAGGAGTGCAAAGCGCAGGATTTAAGCCGGCGAATCAATGAACTGAAAGATCAATATTTTCAAGGTCACATCGGTCATGCACGTGGGTCTCAGTGAAAGTAAGCACAAAAACCGCATAACTTCGCGTCGATGGCCTACAGTGGGCTTCAGAGCATACGCTGGCAAGATGTGTGGGGTGGGTCAGAGGCGGAATTGGGAAGGGAACGCACTCTTAACGACGGAATCAGACTGCCACAGTACCGCGCGTCGAGGCGGATGCCGGCGTGGAGGAGCTGCTCTACTCTAGAAGCCGCGCGTAACAAAACGTTCGGGGAAGTAGACAGGAGTCGTGAGAGTTTCTCATGCGGACGACGGCAGCAAGAGGTCTGTGACTTTACCGGAGAATGTCTGCCGACGTCGATGATGCCGAAAAGGATTCTAGAAACGACATGCTTCGGTTTGCATCAGGAGTGTGTCCGAAGCCAAGAAATGCATTGGCGGTGACCTGGAGATTGGGTTTGCACGCAAATTAGCAGCCTCAGCCGACAACTAAACCGGGATGAGCAGCGTGATTTTGTCCGCCACATGTCATGCGCCAACTGGTTCTTCGATTACACAGGTCAAGTGGGTGGTAAAACTTGGGAACCAGTGTTCAGGGCATAAAACGGTCAACTGGCCGGAATGCCCACTATCTCCCGTGGTTATTGAGGGACTAAAACCGTATAGGACGAAGAAGGTTTAAAAACTCGAAGACGGGCTTGTTAGACTGCGCTTGCGGACTGGTTCGCGGGTCAGAGATAGGCTAAAGCTGAAATATAAATTTTATGCTAAGCGACATGAGGCAGTAATTGTTCGCCGGCACAGCTGATCACTACGCGAAAACTTACGAGGGCTCTACATTGAGTCCTATGGAGTAATGAGACCAGCGCGTCATGTAACCTGATTGGCGAATGTTTCAGATCACAACCGGCAAGTCAGTGGTTCCGAGATTTAATCCTGTTGCTGCTGCATCTAACGCTCAGTTACCAGAGTGTGGGAATGTAACCCAGAGTATGCAAACCCGTGATTTAGTAGGGCTTGTCGACGATGACTGACCGTCTCAGTTTCCCTTGGCTTTGTCAACCAATTCCCTCCTGTACATATTACTGGTCGTTGTGCGACTATCTACGAAGGAACGATCGCGGCCCATAATCTACTCGGTTAACTGACCCCTCAGCGCTAGTTAATATTTCCGGTCGAAGTCAGGAGGACGACTAGACCGTGGATAAATGGTTAGAACTTTGGAGTTACAGTGCGTGACCGACCTCGTGAAATGTTGGGCGAAATTCTGGAATGTGTTTTCGATTAGGAGGGATTACTAAGGCGTGGATGTAATATTCATTAGCATGCGGCATAATCCTATAGTATTTCGGAATCGCTAGGGTTTCGGCTTTTGAATGCATTTCTTTTTGGTCTCTTGCGGAAACCACACTCGGTAAAAGTGAGTACGCATGTAGCGTGCATTTTTCCCATTGACTTTCGATGATCTTGTATATTAAAATATATTTTATAGAAAACGTGCACCGATGTGTGCTTATTTCGACTCAATAGGTAGAAAATCGTATTATCTTCATATTTTGTATCCAAAGAAAGTGTATATTTAAGATATCAAAGAATTTCTGATTACGAGATTTATAAGATCGTACGATGTCCACGCATACAGGACCGCACATGTCCGTTTACCTATGCTCCTCATGAAACGCACAACACAGCCCGGATCCCCTGCGAAATTTAACGAATTCTATATAGCTTCTTTTTAAAGGCATAGGGGAATATATGATTTTCCTAACGCGGAAAGCATACATCTTGTAGACTGATATCGCTAAATGCTAATGCAGTGGCAGATCAGAATCAAAATTATTCGGGAATTGGGAAACTTTCTTTAAACGCATATATACACTTTCTTCGGGCATAGAATACAAAGATCATTCGATCTTCTACCAAAGGAGTAAAAGAAAGCATGTTTTTTGTGCAGATTTTTTATAACATATATTTTAACTTAGAAGACCATCGAAAATCAGTAGGAAAAATGCATGCTTCTTATGTAGTCATTTTTACCGAATGTGGTTTCCGCAAGAGACCAAAAGGAAATGCATTCAAAAGCCGTCATCCGGGCGAGTCTGAAATACAATAGGATTATGCCGCATGCTAATTAATATTACATCCCCGCCTAAGTAATCCTTCCTAATCGAAATCGCATCCCGGAATTTCGACCAACATTTCATGAGATCGATCACGCACTGTACAAACGCCCCAGACTCAGGTGTAGCAAAACCTTGGGCTGGATGAGGCTGACTGGCCAGGGCGGATAAGCCCTAAACGGTCATCCTGATCTCCATCGTCTTTGAGGGTGGCTCGTTGTCTGAAAAAGTATATATTCAGATGATGGAGTACCGAATAAGATAAAAGAGACCAGAATGACCACCGCTGGCTTATTAGCCGTCATCAGCCGGTCATACCAAGTCCCAAGCATAAACCGCCTGGTATTCGAACCCGGGCACTTTGGTTGAAGGCTTTACCAGTGTGTCACGGGCTCGCTGTCCTGTCGGTTGTAAGTAGGAATATTGAGCATAATAAAATAGCCCTAACCGGTCACGTTACGGCACATGGTGCTTTGGGGGCTCCATCCAGAGCCCTCGCAGGCAGTCACGTAGCGGTTAGTAACATATGCATATCAATGAGAGCCACTTCCTGATCACAACCGAGAGCACAACGAGCCTCAACCTGCAACTAAACCGGGAAGAGCAGCGTGATTTTGTCCGCCACATGTCATGCGCCAACTGGTTCTTCGATTACACAGGTCAAGTGGGTGGTAAAACCTGGGAACCAGTGTTCAGTGCATAAAACGGTCAACTGGCCGGAATGCCTACTATCTCCCGTGGTTACTGAGGGACTAAAACCGTAGAGGGCGAAGAAGGTTTAAAAACTCGAAGAGGGGCTTGCTAGACTGGGGCTATTCTAGAAGACTGTGGTTCGTTGGTGGGGCGTTCGACTCACTGACCAAATATTCCAGAATCGAATCCGAGGTGGTTCAAACCTGGGGTTGGGTGGGAGAGAGAGAGAGGAGGGAGGAAGTCGCTTTATTTTGAAATCAACATTTTCGGCAAAAATTGGCTCCATTCAGTGTGGGCAGTTAATAAGTTAATAGATTATTCAAGAGTTAAAAGTTTAACACAAAAGGAACGCTTTTTATGGGGACAGTTCTAGTCTTAGCTTCTGTATTTCTATCTCTTAACACGTTAGATAGCGCGCCAAAAATGGTAATACAGAATCTGGGTATGCCGATGTGCGACAAGAGATAAATCGGTAACCGCGGCGCTTCGGGTGGAAAGGCTTCGCAGAAATACGATCGGAATGCAAGAGATGGGCAACGTCATCTATACTCCGACCAAACTTAAGTGTCGTTGTAAGATAACATCGACTAAGAAGAGATATGCAACACCAGCGTCCATTGTTTGGCGAAATTGGCAATAAGTGAAAACAGAGGATCCCCGAAAAGCCGTCAAGCGCTACGGCGTCTTTATCCCTTGACGTGAAGGCTGTAGGGTACAGGTGTAGCGTCTGCGAATGAAAATATTCCAAAACGTTGGAAGGGATTCGCAGGCAATTAACAAGTGTTCTGAAAAGCCAGAGGCCTTTTATTTCGGCTTCTTATTTGCCTACACGAAGATGTCTCAGTCAGACGTGACAAACAATGTACAGGCAGTGTTTGACCCCATAATCCACACGCTGAAAGGAGTATTGAGATGTAGCTGTGCTCTGTAGAGAGTGTGGATTCTTTAACGCCAGCGCACACGCACCTCAGTGGATTAAAGGCATGAAACATGCGGGCCCTATGTGGCTCCTTCCGTATGACTTCTGACAGGTTCGTCGTATCCGTGCGTTGACAGACAGGGCTTCGCAGGTGAGTGCCAAGTGTTCCCCTATGACTAGATGCGTTGTCGCGGGCCCTTATGATTTCGGCTAGCCTGAATATTTGCGCACTTTGCCAAAGCTAGTCGACTACCGTGCTCGCGGCTGTGCCTAGTCAAGTGTGAACATATGTCCTTTGATCCCACTGTCCTGTGCTAGCTGCACCTGGCCTTTGCTACCTGTGAATATGCGCTAGCAGAGGTAAGCGGATGAGGTCTAACTGGTTGGCGATCGAAACGACCAGACCAAAGTTCGTTCTTGCCCCCTCTCTCCAGCCCATCAGTTTATGCGGAAGACTGACTCCTGTCCAGAGAGTGGAAGATCCCTCGTGTCGAAATCGCCCCTTTTGAAACGGGCCGTTCTTTTAGCAAAAGAATCTTGTCCGTAAACAACACAAGTGTTTCTGACTCTTCTGCTAGACCCGAATAAAAGAAGATGTCTGAAATGCCTGTTTTTGTTCATCTTAAATTCCACTTTCTTTGGGCTGTGAATAATCAAAAGTTGATTCACATAGAAAATCACAAACAAATTCTGCAAGCACTTGGCTAGAGGAACAAAATGACATGAGACGAATACACCAAATTTTAACATGACAAAAGTTTGAATAATTGAAAAGCGCACGGACTTATGGGACAGTCTGATATTTAAGGGAGGTTATCTGTGTGTCCTTGTAACACACCAACCTCCATTTCATCTGACAGAGTTCTCAGCAACCGCCCAATCCCAACAAGCAGGCAAATCGCGGTTGAGCATTTAATAAAGCCAGTGATTGCGATTAACACCACAGGGACAACGGGGTAGCACACGTTGACGGAATTGCGGACTGTTGAATAGTAAGGCGGTATCGGCTGCCGACAGTCCCACTCACACAAAGGCACTTTTCTGCAGGACGAAGTGTGGTGAGGTATCGGATTAATTTACCTTTGACAATTTGGTCCCGTTTTCTTTGACCGGATTGCTTGTTTGAATGTGACGGAAAACGGCACACCTGTACAACCCGCCTTGCTCTGTTGTCAGGTTACTTAACGTTCAGAATCTCAATATTATTCAGTTTAACTTGCTGCCTTTAAGGCTAGAGGCTCGTGAGATATATCTCTTTAGTTCGTGGGCACATTACCTTCCTCGTCAGACTAGCATCGGAGAGTACACAACTGCCTCTTTTGCCAGCACAGACTCCTGGTTTATCCTCTTCTCTCGAAATATCTCACAGGAAAACTCTCAACACCCTCATTCTCCGTGTTAGTCCTTTTTCAGTCTACGCGGGGCGGGTGAGTTGGTTTGACTGACGTGTCCTTAAAACGCGCTGAGGCAGCAGTGAACATGTACAGGCAGTGATTGACCCCCTGACCCACTGCTCAGCACGACCTGACATGCATGTGAATGTTCTTACCGGTGAACAGGGCCTTGCTGGAAGGGGTACTGAGATTTATTTGTGCTCTACAGAGAGTGTGGATTCTTTAACGCCAGTGTATAAGCGCTTCAGTCGTCACATGTCGCCCCTGAGCGGATTAAAGGCATGAAACATGCGGGCCCTACGTGGCATCCGTGCGTTGGCAGACAGAGCTTCGCAGGTGGGTGTCAAGTGTCCCCCCCCCCATGAACTGATGCGTTGTTGGGGGCCCTTATGATTTCGGCTAGCCTGAATATTTGCGCACTTTACAAAAGCTAGTCGACTACCGTGCTCGCGGCTGTGCCTAGTCAAGTGTGAGCACATGTCCTTTGATCTCACTGCCAACGCATGCTCGTGTGTTCGCTTCACCTGGCCTTTGTCGCCTGTGTATATGCGCCATCAGAGGTGGGCGGATGAGAACTAACTGGGGGGGTGAGCGAAACGGCCAGACCAAAGTTCGTTCATGCCCCCTCTCCCAGCCCGTCAGTTTATGTGGAAGTAGGGGGGGGGGATGTGCTACCTCATAAAATGTCAGCCGAATTTCTGAAATGCGCTTCCGACTCGAAAAAAAATTACTTAAGCAGGTATATAATACTAATTATCGTGTGAAACAATCCCAAGTCGTGTCAGGATGCAGTCTATTGTACGAGCATATTTTAGGTCGTCTGAAAAACTACACTCCGCAAAAAATGGCTGCGTGAGTTTTTTTCGCATTGATTTTAGATGCCCTTGCAAATTTAGACATATTCCGCACATAACTACTCGACTTTTTATCCATTTGGTAGAAAAGCACGCCTTCTATAAATTTTGTATTAAAGGGAATTCTATAATTAAGGTTTACAAAACTTTTTTTCATTTCCGAATATTTTCGAACCCAACCTGCCGTCACACTAACATTCGGGTTTTCAAAAACGCAAGTATATTTTCCGCGTAAGAAAAATCTTCAATTTCTAAAGGCTATCAAGGAGATAAAATATGGGTTTCATGCAATTTCTTAGTGGATTTGGACCATATTGTATGCTTTAAAAGCAGTATTAATAAATGTATGGATGCGGTGTTCTACGAATAGATATTTCGCGGTCTTATACCCCCATAACTATAAACTTTTTTTAAAAAACGGCAGGTATTCTGTTCCCAGGCATAAACTTAATCTGTTATTAAATGAGGAAGATAGCGAATATTTAACGCACGTTTTTTATAAAAGGTAATTGAATCTTGTGCAATGATTTACCGTACTAACAACACAGGTATTAGCTAAAAGCCCAGACACGCGTGTTTCGCCGATCTTATGCCGCTGCCTGACGCAGCTGCGAGTGGTGCGGCTCGTCAGTGGGTCCCCCAGCTTTGCCCGTGTGTTTTCTGGTATATGAACTCCAGTTTCAACTTGCCTTGTTTAATTTCCGAGGAAATTAATGCACGAACTTGGAGTAACTCTTTCGAAACAGACCTTTTCAAATTTCGGACCGTGCCTGAAAAGGTCTGTTTCGAAAGAGTTACTCCAAGTTTGCGCATTAATTTCCTCGGAAATTAAACAAGGTAATTGAATCTATTAGGGTATCGACGCGAGGAAAAGGTTCGAAAGGAAGAGCAGTCGGGTCGTAAAAATTCCCTCAAAACAATGGTAGATGGAATGCATAGTCTGCCAGTGAAACAGGAGTGTTAAAACGTCGGTGAATTTATCAAACAACAGCTGACATTTTCCTACCTCGCACGCATACCTAACCCTTGCCGGCATCGAAAATCAGTGAGAAGAATTAATACCCCTTAAGAAGTCATTTTTTACAGTGTGTAGTTTTTCAGAGGGTCCAAAAAAGAAAGTCGGCATCCTGACGTGAATTAAATATCTTGGATATGGGCTGCATGGTGATTACTACTACAACCGCCACTTAAGTGACCTCTTTGAGTCGAAAACGTGTTTCGCGAGATAACACATTCACCGCAGGCGCAAAAGGGCTAGTTTCGCTCCACAGAGAAAAACGAGTATCGCATGCAGGCCAGAATCTGCGAGACGACAAAATAATCAGTAAAATAGTTTCAAATATAGGCAACCACGGGAATTAATCCGTGCTATTCAGTACTCACTATACATAACCACAGTAGGCACAATATTGGTTACCGGGCAACATAATAATTCCGCCAATGCCAACACTTACGGTTTGTCTATTCTAACTAGTACTTTTAATAGCATTTAATGTTTTCTAAGCGTCCTTATGCAGGAGTACTTTCATTGTCCCCTTGCGGTAATTGATCAGGAACCCGGTCAGTAGATAAACTTGACATCGCAGGTGCGCTCTGTTCCAAAATAGTAACAAAACGTGATCTGCGCTAGACTGTTTGTCAACATGCGAGGGGGAAAAGTTTATAAAGAGTTGTTAACCTTATAGTCGGGGAAGTCATCCCCTTCCTCTTCGTACGCTAACGCCTGTTTCGTTGAATGCTAACTGGTATGCTGGAATGATTTCATTAATGAGTAACTTGTTTCGAAATCCTCCCGTCTGGGGACTGTCAAAGAATCCATCTACCTGTTATTCGATATAAAGTTCACTATGGAGTTTGTTTTTTGTTGCGCGACCAGTGGTACGAATACTTCATTGGTTTAAGTAAAACGAATAAATCAAAAGATCACTGGAAAAAAGGGCTGTTTTCTCAAGCAAATTATTGGTACACAATAGCTGACCTATCTCGTGAAATGCTGACTGAAATTCTGAAATTTGTTTTCTATTAGAAAGAGTTATTTAGGTTGTGTTGTGGAATCAATAATAGTACAGCACATTCCCGGATATTCCAGTCAGGCCAGTATGGCGACCTTTGAATGCACTCCATTCCGGCCACCCACAAAAATAACACTACACACAATGTGGCTACTTAAGTAGTATGCTTTTTCACGGTTTTTCCTATGCTCTTGTAAATACACATAGATACGCTATAGAAAAGACGCATATAAATGTACTTTCATATGTGCATCTGGTATAAGATTACCTCTTCTTCTAAGTTTATACTTGAAGAAAGGGCATCCTGAGGTTGAAAAAGACATTAATCAATTCCTGAGCAATTTGATGCCTGACCAGAAGTTGTACCTGCGCTAAAAGTGTTCAAACTGCACTCTGCATATTTTCCGTGGAAGGAAAATCATATATTTATCTACGTTACTACAAAGATGTTATGTGGGGCTCAGAAAATGTTACACCTTATGCGGACCCTGTTGCATACTTTACAAGAGCAGATATGATGCTATTTCAATGGACCTTTCAAGATTTCAAATTCTCCAAAAATTACAAGCTATTCTAAGCAAATAAGGCCCCTACTTAAAGCATGACATTTTTTTGAATTTTTGTGGGTGTAGAGTGCCAATAAAAAGAAATTCATATTACGTTCAACTTGTGGGATTTTGCAGGTCAGTGGAAGGAATCGGATCCAAAAGCCAGCATCCTGATTTGACTCACATATCTCTGGATTATATTTTTGTTTGCCTTCAATGGCACTTCTTGACTTTATGAGCTTAATAAAAAAAGTTCATACTACTTTTACATTGTGCGATTTTAAGAGTGAATGGAGGAATCGAATTCAAAAGCCGGCATCCTGACGCGACCAAAATATCTCTGGATTATTCTACATGATGATCAATAACACAAACTCATCAAAAATATCCTTTCCAATCGAAAAAAAACATTTCAGATTTCCGGCCAACACTTCATGAGATAGATCAGGTACTCATGTTAATGTTTATTTTATAGTTGCGAAATTAGTCCGGATGAATACTTTTACGTCTTTGCGTGAAGGTAATGTGAAAACGCCTGTTATATCTGAAAAGATTACGGGGAATCTAAGAAAGCGTGATCCAGCTTGAGAATCGACGTGCAAAATTTTCAAAAAATTGTTAGTCGGATCCTATTTCGCAGCCGTACCTGCAGTAGACAAGCATCAGCCTAACCCTAACACCTAATAGGATCTTGACAAATTTTGTTCCCACCACACGAAAGAGCAGAACCTGGCGAGAAAGTTATGGCAATTAGTGTCAATTCGTAGCAAGTCCATAGGAGGAATTCATCACTTCCCATATACGACAACAGAAGGTTTGTCCTGATGTCGACACCAGGCCGCGCATGCGCGCCCCGTTCACACTGGCGGCAGCTCGCCGCTTGGTGGGTTGCGCGCACACTGCAGACAGCCAGCCTGTGATTGGTCACCCCGAGATGTAATCACGTGACGCTGCGCGACCAATCAGAGTTACGCACATAATGGTGACTTTCCAGCACTGACGCTTCAGCCGACGCCTCGCCAGTCAGTTTAAACTCGTTAGAATGAGAGGAGCAGCCTTCGTAGCACTTCTGCTGGCGTTCTCGTTGACACAATGTGCAATGATGGGTGGGAAAAGTCCACTCACGCCGGAGGACCTGAAAGATGCACTTTTCCAGGAAGCACTGGCGGCCACCTTGAAGGAGCTTGGAGACAAGTCCGGCGGATGCGCCAGCTATTCTATGGAGGAATTTCTGAGTGGCACAAAACAGGTTGTCGCCGGCGCCTTCTACGAGTGGACTATGAGGGTTAAGCAGACTCCCCTTGCCAACAATGCAAAGTGCTTGGAGTGGTGTAGTGTGGCCTGTGAGGAGAAGCCAACGTACTCCGTTTCAGTCTGGATGAAACCGTATCGAAACGACCCCAAGAAGGCGGTTGTCACGTTGGAGCAGGTTTAACTCTTCTCGGATAGTGCGCCTCAACAGGATGGCAGAACAGACAACACATTTTGGCCAAAACTTATTATATACCGGGGTTTGGGTATCTTTTACTATTTAATCACAATCAGGTGAAGTGTTTGAATTTGTGTAAACATGTACCTGCTAATACTCGCTTACACAGTCAGCCATTAAATACTCACCTTAGGCTTTTTTGCTGCCCATGTATCTTTAAATGAAGACAATCGCTCTGTTTTTATTCACCCAATAAAGCCCAAGGGTTGCTGAAATCTATACCCTTTGAATAAAGTATTCTTAATACCAGAAATCGCAATCAGGAGATCGTTAGGAACTCTTTTATTAACACAAAGCCCCACTTAAATTTAAGGGGTCTTAAAACACTAAGCTTTGAAGGATGGAAACAGTTACAGAGTGGCATTACCGATAAAGGCGAGGGCGACTGGAATGGCCATTTCTGGCTTACTAGCCGGTCATACCCAACCCCGAGGTGTGGGACACCTGAGGCTCGAACTCGCGACCTGGTAGTTAGAAGTTCAACGCCTCTAACCACTGAGCCACGGGCTCGTTGTCCTGTCGGTTGCCATCGGGAATATACAATGGTAGAGGGGAGCCCACCGATCGTGGTATGGAACTCACTCGTCCCGTTGTGCCTTACGGGCTCTCTCTCTCTCAAGCCCAACCATCAGTCACACAGCGACGCATAATATACACATAATAACATCAATGACGAAGAAAAGGGAGACTGGAATGACCATTTCTGAAGGGTGAGTTCCGTATCGCGATCGATGAGCGCCCCTCTACCATTGCATATTCCAGATTGCAGACGACAGGACATCGAGTCCGTGGCTCAGTGGTTAGAGGCGTTCGACTTCTAACCAACAAGTCGCAGCTCTTGGCTAGTACCTGTGCTGTTAGTATGGTATCGCCTTAGCCTGAAGTCCGACGCTTGTGTCGCCAACCTACGTTCGCGCGGTCGGATGTACGATTTATATAAAGAGGGTCTAAAAAAGAACAGAATTTGTCGCTGACACATAAAATTAACCCCTACACTCGTTGGCTGGCTCCTCAAATCGGAGTGAACTGACCTGAATGCTTTTCCCCACGGCCGGCAAACAATTGCTAGCTTCGCACCGCTCACTCGCTAAAGTCATCGATTAGCACTAGCCCTGCTCGTAGGCGAAAGCTCGGCGCGCGGGTTCGCGAAAATCTGATGTCCACATGCTCTCGCGCGAGAGGTCTACCAATCAGAACGCGCGAACCGTAGAGCGCCACTGTTGAAAATACTACCAGCAGGACACTGCATTTGAGAAGT